TCCTGGGGGGCAACTTGCTTTTGCCTTAATTTGGGCCCAGGTCAAATTTTTGCCGTCTTTCTTGAGGCACCGTTGCTATGAGCCCCTAGGTATGCCTCTCGTACAATGTTTTGATGGCTTATAATCCAGTGCTTGTTTGCAAATGCGGATAGAAATCTTCTTATACCTTTTGGAAAATTTCGATTGGTGATTATTCATAAAATGTATAAGTAAACTAATAAGCAGACCCGCATAAACGCGAACCATCACATGACCTTACCGATAATGGTTATAAATTGTTTATAATCCCTGCTAAACTTCAACTGAAATGGTTATGGAACTTTACATGAACGTTTAATGATAAAGTTTTAACCTTAAGTATTATAGTTTTTTGGAAGTGGACCTTACAAATAATGGGTTGTTAAGAACCATTACCATTCAAAATTCTTGTTTTCTCCATACATTTTCGGAAAGAGAACTATATTAGAACGTTTTTACTTATGGTTTGAGAACATTAATGGTTATGGTTATGGTAGTCAGTAAGGTCCATTAATGGTTTTGTATTATCGCTCAACTTTACGTGAAATATATCGTGAATTGGTACCCTAATAAAATTGTTATGGTTATTTTGCTTAACGACGTGTTCCGGGTATCATCTGAACCATTTATGGAATAGTTCTATTATTTGGGTTATCGTTCGTTTATGGTTATTTTTTATTAGGGTAATCAGTAATTTACAGGCAACCAATTCGCGATATATTCCACATAAAGTTGATCGATGTTACAAAACCATTCATGGACCTTACTGGTTACCATAACCATTACCATTAATGTTCTCAAACCATAAGTTAAAAGGTTTTAGTATAGTTTTCTTTCCGAAAATGTATGGAGAAAACAAGAATTTTGAATGGTAATGGTTCTTAACAACCCATTATTTGTAAGGTCCACTTCCAAAAAACTATAATACTTAAGGTTAAAACTTTATCATTAAACGTTCATGTAAAGTTCCATAACCATTTCAGTTGAAGTTTAGCAGGGATTATAAACAATTTATAACCATTATCGGTAAGGTCAATTTATGGTTCGCGCTTATGCGGGGATGCCTTGCAAAAATTTCATGAAGATCATGTGTCAAATGAAATGTATAAGCGGTCACACATACCTTTTATGTATGCTTATAGGACCTATGTAGTTTGTCTTATGGAATGTATAAGGCTGATGTTTTGGTAAAAATGTATAAGTGAATCACATTAAAAAAAAATCGTGTCGTGTACATCTAGATAGACCTGGAATTAGGGCGTAACAGCTTTAGTAAACAATGACTTCTCTCGATGATTTCTCAAAAGTCATAGCTTTCCCTAGAAAATCGACATCACCATCGAGTAGGGGACGGCATCTCCTACTCGATGGATGTGTTGGTTTGTGTAGGCGTGCCTTAAATTCCTAGAAATTAACGATAAAAGTCATGTTTTACAAAGCTGTTACGCCCATAGCCATTGCATAGCAAAACAACTTTTTTTTAAATCAATTACGGTAAAAAAAATCATTTCTTTTTCAACAATAACTTTTTCTCAAAATTTATAACTTCTGAAGCACCAGGCCGATTTCAAAGATCAAAATATCAAAAGAATGGTAATTAAAAGCACTTTTTTGAAAAAATAGAGAAAAATAATCGTGTGTTTAAAAAAAAATGTGTGTTGAAAAACATTTATTGAATTTGATTTTTATGGTTTTCATGGTTTTTAGCGAAATATGATTTTATATTTTTCCTTGAAAATTAAGGCTTTTTTAGACAACATATAAAAAATCAGCGATGTGTTTTTTTCGTTTTTGAGTTATATTTCTTTAAAGTCATCAAGTTTTAAGTTTTCGTTCAATACTTCTATGCGACTAGACTACCATCCATTGTGACCATGTTACTGTCGTTATAAACCAATGGAAACGCATGGTAGTCTAGCCGCGTAGCAACATTCTAGATGAAAAAAAAAATCACACATGTGAAACTGTGTGATCGATATTTTTATCTTCTCGCTCTAACATATGCCAGCTGCCTTGAAATATTTGAGTTCAATTATCTATCCTACTTTAACATTAACTACATACAAATAAACACAAAACAATCTCTTCTCTGCTACTACCAGTGATATATACCCTCGCTGACACAAATTTGCTGCTACTGTTCGACTTGCCATGACCTTGACCTATATTTTGATCAGCTGTTCTCGAATTCTTTTTTTTTTTTGTTTATTAATTTATTTGATAAGGCTCAACCTAATTTACTTTACAAAGCCGAGGATTCTTGGTCACTATACAATACATCTTAAAACTATAGTCAAAAGGTACAACACAATAAACACTTTATCTTCCGCTATCCAAAAAGCCTTCTCCATCAGAACTGAAGCCGCTTCCAGTAGTTTCATGGTGTGGCAAATTGTTGTACGCCAACGAGGGTCAGAGCGCGTCCAGTGCAGCAATGGACGCAAAACGTGGTCAGCACTCACACACTCATCACGAAACGGTTGCTTTCCAAAGTCGACGACGCATCGACCGAAAGAACTGCTGATGAAGAACAATGAGGACTTGACCAAAAATTAACTTTTAAAGATCACATTGAGGGCATTCAAGCCAAATGTAACAAATATATAAAATGTTTGTATCCTCTTATAAACAGGAAATCCAAACTTTGCCTGACGAATAAACTTCTAATATTTAAACAAGTTTTTAGACCGGCCATGCTTTACGCTGTGCCAATATGGTCTAGTTGTTGCACTACCAGGAAAAAAGCACTTCAAAGGATTCAGAACAAAGTTCTGAAAATGATTTTGAAGTTGCCTCCCTGGTACAGTACTACCGAGGTACATAGAATTTCGAATGTTGAGACTTTAGAACAAATGTCCAACAAAATAATGAATAATTTCAGGCAAAAATCGTTGCAATCCTCAATTGCAACGATTAATTCCCTTTATACTTAGATAAGATTTAGTTTTAGTTTTTAGTTTTAAGATATCAATTGTTATACTGACATGCAGGTTAAAAAACCTGTTTAAAATACTTAATTGCCAAGACATGAACAATGTAAAAACACTTAGATATATATCATAACAATTAAGGCTGGTACGTTACTGCAGTAACTGGAGCACCTAGGTTAAAATGAAATGTAATTTATTTTAAATTTGGAACAAATAAAGAGTTAAAAAAAAAAAAGAACAATGGTTGCTGCTGAGAAAACAGACGATCGCGTAGCACACATCGAGAGTGGCCTGCTTTTGTCGACAGCCGAGTGAACACTGTTCTCGAATTCGATTGTATACATTGCTGCATTGCTGTTTTTCGTTGGTGCTGCTGGACTTGGCTGTTGTTTCTTGCAGACGGGAGGCTCCTTCTCGTTTAATTTCCTCAGTGACATCGTCGATCAGAAGTGAGTTGAGTATAGAACAGTGGAACAGAAATGGAGTATCCAGGTGTAGTAATAGTAAAACCGGAACAACATACCTCGCAAACTGCTGAAGTGGTGACAATGCAGGAGCAGGAGTTGTCCGTTGGCTGATACATCCGTTCTGTCTGATAACAACTGGTGACATTCAGGACGACTTTCGACGATCACGACTGATTGCTGATTTCTTTACAGGATCACATTCGGTTGCTTGATGCTGCATGTTTCAGACTGACTCTGAACCTTGTTGACGATGTCGGACGATTTGCAAACGGATTTCGACTTGACTGACCAGACTGCGCTGGTGGACTGGATGCCATCGGACGTGGACTCGTGACGGAACGGACATGGAATTGCGACGAGCGATTATCGTTGGAAATGGTGGAATGCTTCGATGTATGTCGATGGTGGTGCAGACTGCAGATGCAGGCCAAGTCGCTGAAAAAAAGATGCGAGGGTGCTTTTTTACCTTTATAATCATATAAACTAAACTGACGATTCGTTTGCTTCTACGTTGACTTGAGAACAGCCGATGCATTAACGGTGCTACTATTACTTGTTGTGAACGCTGTGCAAACTGGCCATGCTTGCTGCCATCCACTAGTAGTGCAACGAGGACGAAGTGCGCACTTCTCTCTCTGGGCGATGAAGATTCAGTTTACCTCAAATAGGCAAACGTACACGGCGAATGAGAACGACCCAAATTTGAGTTTAGTTCACTCATAATCGACAAAAGTGCAGGAACGCAGCGATGAGTTAAATTTGTCTCATGGTTTCCTGTGGAAAACCTAAAAAATCTGCCGGAAAATGAGGAAATTGATGAAAATTTTATTCAGTCTCGGAGTAGTACCAATAGACTGAGTGAATCCAATCTTTACTTTTCTCAAATTCAGGATTTTTTCCCTGGAAAAACCTGGGAAAACATGAGGCAAATTTACTCATCGCTGAGCTCCTGCACTTTTGGCGATTATGAGTGAACTAAACTCAAATTTGAGTCGTTCTCATTCGCCGAGTAGTTTACGAATGAGTTACGGTACTGATTCACAGAGCGCTGGCGTTAGACGCCGCTGAATGCATTTCATGCTTGAACGGATGGACATTCACATGCAATTGACCACCACCGAAACTATACAGACCTCGACTGACAGGGACTGACTGGCTCGATTTACTATCGGCTGAGACTGTTTCGGGAGACCGAAACAAAGGGCGAATCGTGACTGGGAAAAATGAGCGGGGTTATTTTTACGAAAAATACAATATGCGATTAACTTAACTGGTGAGCGGGGGCCTTTCGACCTCCGCCGTTGGAGGAGTCCTAGTTCTCCCCATCTGATAATGAGTTATTTTCCCGTATCGGTAGTACGCAGATATTCGAGATCGCTCTGCGGTAACTACCGTCCGTTGTTTTGACGGTCACGACTCGAACATTCCCATCACGACCTGCGTGGACCTCTGTCACACGCCCCAGTAGCCACTTCAGTGGTGGCTGATTCTCCTCCTTCAGGACCACCATGGTTCCAACTACCACGTTGTTTCTTCTCACTGTCCACTTGGTCCGATTGCGGAGGTCTGACAAGTACAGATGCGACTATTTCTTCCACAGTTGCTGCGTGAAACACTGCGCTTTCTGCCAGGCTGACAGACGATTTTCTGGAATCCCATCCAGATCGGGTTCCGGTATTGCCGTAAGAGGCCGCTGAATCAAGAAATGACCGGAAGTCAACGCTTCGTACTCATCCGGGTCGTTACTGAGAGGTGTGAGCGGTCGTGAATTCAACACTGCTTCCACCTGGGTCAGGATCGTCTGCATCTCGTCGTACAGGAGAGTGTGCACGCCAATTGTTCGTTTGAAGAGCAGCTTGAACGATTTGACTGCTGATTCCCACAGTCCACCGAAGTTTGGCGAACGCGCTGGAATAAACCGGAAATTAATCTGGTCTTCTGCTGAACTTCGGATGACGGATGCCTGGAATTGCTGGTTGTTGAACAGACGACGTAATTCGTCCAACTGTCGTCTCGCACTTACGAAGTCACATTATGATCTCCGGCTTACCTCGCCGGGAAGAAAAACGCTTCAGAGTCGCAATAAATCCTTGAGCGGACAGGTCTGACGCTAGTTCCAGGTGAACGGCCTTGGTTACTAGACAGACGTAGACGGCAACGAAGATTTTCACCGGGCGATTTCACCGGTACGGATACGACACTTGGAACGGGCCACAGTAATCCACACCTACACGTTGGAATAGTGGACACGGGGTAACTCTTTCGGGGAGAAGATCCGCCATGAGCTGGTCCTGAATCTTGGGCTTCACTCTGAAACATGGTACACACTCGTGGATGACCTTTCGCACTAGGTTCCGGGCGTTTGTTGGCCAGAACCACTCACTAAACGGACAAAACCATGAGCTGTTGTCCACCATGCAGCATCTTTCGATGGTTGTGAACGACGACCATGTACGTAAATGGATGACGGTGATCCAGAATATACGGGTGCTTGCGACGGGTCGCAATCGATGCGTGGTGAAGTCGGCCGCCAACGCAGAGTATTCCGTCTTTGAGCTCCGGGTGTAGTGACGAAATCTTCGACGACTCTCGAACTTCTCTACCGTTTGTCAAATCAGCTAACTCCAGCGAGAAGCTTTCTTGTTGGGAGAGCCTGACCAACGCATGCAAAGCATCTTCCAGTTCGAGCGTTGTGAGAGGACCACACCGTCGATTGTCACGGTTCGCCGGTTGCGAATTGTAGCGGAATCTGTGAAGCCAAGCAGTCAACCGTACGAGATGTGTATACGATGATCTGAGACTGAAGATATCGCTTGAAAGTGCTGTCGCCATGCTCTTGGCTTCGAGATCCATAGGATCGAAGTTTTCTGCATCTATCTGATGAGCAGATGGCCAGTTGTGCTCGTCCAACTTTAGCCAATGCGGGACCGTTGAACCAAAGCAATTCATATTGTAGCTGCGCTGGGATCATTCCACGGGAACTTATGTCGGCTGGATTCTCTAGCCCGGCTACGTGGTTCCAAACGCCTTGTTTCGTGATGTGCTGAATCTTCGAAACCCTATTTGCTACGAACTGCTTTCATCTTGACGGTGACGAAGAAATCCAACACTTGACAATCGTGGAGTCCGTAAAGAAAAAGCCTTTCGCTTTGATGATGTGTGTGTGTGTACTCGAAATATGAAGAAAAAATTGTCCCACTATTTTGGATTTCACTAGTTGTCTCAGAACCAGAAGACGTGTTCAGAGAGCAAGAACAGAAGCAGAAAGAGAGGAACGTAGAGAAGTGTTCCGAGCGCACTTAAACGAGAGATAAAGCAGAGCAAGTCAAACTGTTTTAAGAAGATGTGTCGAGACGCTAATGCCAACCCCTGGGGCAACGCATACCGAGTCGTGGTGGCGAAGATCACAGGTCCAACGATGCCCGCTGAAATGTGCCCAGAGAAGCTGAAAGTCATTGTGAAAGTACTTTTCTCGAAGCACGACCTAATGACCAGGCCACCTACACCGTACGAAGAGAGATATGACGTCGATGTCACCAACGAGGAACTCGTAGCAGTGGCGAAAGTATTGAAGGTGAAGATAGCTCCCGGTCCGTAGCGTTGAAAGCAGTGATCCAGGCGTCCCCGGAAATGTTCAGGATGGTGCTGCAAAAATGCCTGGACGAGGGTCACTTCTCTGACAGGTGGAAGATACAAAAGCTGCAGAAACCAGGAGAACCGCAGGGGGATCTAGCATCGTACAGGCCTATATTTCTGCTGAATACACTCGGAAAACTCTTGGAGAGGATCATCCTAAAAAGGCTGACGAAATGCAAGGAGAGTGAGTTCGGATTCCGGAAAGGGAGATCAACGCAATTCGGAGAGTGGTCGAGAGAGCCGAGAAGGCGTTCAAACAGAAGCGGAGAGGAGATTGATATTTCGCCGTGATAAAAATCGGCGTCAAGAATGCGTTCCACGGCACCAGCTGAGAGGCATCCTTGATCCAACGCTTTGGAACGGGATGTACAACGCTAACGCTGAAGCTGCCCAAAGGAGTTGAGAACGTTGAAGAGGTGGAAATGTTGGCATTATTGGTAACTGGATGCAATGACCGAAGCTGCAGATAGCCCACCACAAAACGGAAGTGCTATTGGTCAGTAACTGTAAAGCGGTGCAGCGTGCAGAAATCACCGTCGGGGAGCACGCGGTAGCATCGAAGCGCGTGTTGAAATACCGGAAAGTGATGGTCGATGGCCGGCCAAACTTCAACAGCCATGTCGAATATGCCTGTGAGAAGGTTTCGAACGCTATCAACACGATAGCTTGAATCTTGCCGAACAACGCTGGTCCCAGTAGTAGCAAGAGGCGTCTTCTGGCCAGTGTGTCGTCGTCGATATTGAGTTATGGAGGTCCATCCCAGGTTGTAGCGCTGAAAACGAAGCAGAACCAAAGGAAACTGAACAGTACGTTCTGGCTCATGGCCATGCGAGTCGTGAGTGTGTACAGAATCATCTCGTCGGAAGCAGTATGCGTTATCACCGGAATGATCCCTGTGGACATCCCTGGCAGAGAATAATTAATTAATTTAGCTTTATTTAGGAGGCTTTCAGCCTTAGGCTGGTTCGCCTCCGAGGCAGAGAATAGCTAGTACCACAGGTGGAGAGAAACCGGAAGAGTACGGAAAGTGGTGAGAGCGAAGTCTTTGGCTAAGCGGCAACAGGAGTGGAACACGGCGGAGAACGGTAGATGAAAACATAGACTCATACCGATTCTTTCAACCTGGGTGAACAGAAAAAACGGAGATTTCAACTTCCACGAAACGCACGGCCACGGCTGCTTCAGTTTGGACACACAGTGTTATCCCTCTGCCCGAAATGTGACAACGTGGACGAAACGTCGGGGTATGTGGTCTTCGGCTAACCAATATTCGAGACAGTGCGAAGTGGAGTGGAGATATCCGTCCTTAACGTGTCATCGATAATATGTGTCAAGAGGAGAACACTTGGAATGCCGTCAACATAGCAGTCACGCAGATTATGCCGGAAGAGCAGCGTCTAGCAACGCCAGCTAGCGTTGAGAGTAAGAGAAGTGCATGAGTACAGCCAAATTCCCTGTTAAGTATTCTATAAGCATCAACCAAAAACATTCACAGGTGTAACCAGTTATCAATAGTCCAAGTATAATCGTCAACAATACTTCCATTTATACGTGACCTAGGATTTACAAGCTTCCACAGCGCCAGGATTATATCCCGGGAAACGACTTCCAGTAATTTATACCTGTTTCCGCGTACGAAGCTCAAACCATTGTAGATTACTCAAAGCTATTTTTTTACTATTACTACTGTCAGAATCATCAAAATCAATGTCTACTACTAAAATCAAAAAAAAAAAACTAAAATCTTATCATCACCATCGTGGCGAACAATGTAGTTTTTTGTATATGCTACACAAATTAGTAAAATGTCGTTATGACAGTGTTCCGTAACAGACTGTAATTAATTCACAGGAAATTTCAGAAGGACATTTTGAAATGAAAAACTCTTAACTTCTGTACTGCACTTATATTTACGCTGTTACTCTACGACAATAAAAATTGAACTGTTCGTGACGCACGTATCCTTCTCCGAACGAATGAAAAAGCTTGGTATGGCTCGGTAGCGCCAATCTTCTCCTCTCCTTCGGTGCTTTTCAATGTGTTGCCAAATTGATCAAGGTAGGCCGGTCACATAAAACAGCTTAAATTAAAATCTTTCTTCGAGCTGTCATGACACAGCCCGAACAGACAATGTCCATACAAAATAATCCGTTTGAGATAACTTCGTGTTTCTGTTGGTGCAAAATATGGGCTGCCGATCTAAAACTCTATCTTTTTATTTAAATCTACCAATCTGCTAAACAATTTCAATACTAAATCAATTATGTCTAATATTGCACAAATACGTGGTACTATTATACATGTATAAAAAAAATTCCCAAATGAAGCCAGAAGAATACAATCATGCTTTATGAAATAATTTATTAAAAAAAACTACAAGGGACAACCCTATGAGGTTGTACGTAATGGTGACTTAGGACTACTTGCTACTTGCAGAAGCTTGTGTTTTGTGTAGGAATAGGAATTTGAGCGGGGTTCTCTCTGTTTGTACTCTTTAGTATGGCCCACACCGACTCACGAAGAGCTACTGATTCCGATCAATAGCGGTGCGGCTTCTTCCTTCTTCTATGGATGCTCATGTGGGCTGCAGCTCACTGCTTGCAGGCAGCCTTTCATTGTGTACTGGAGAACACCACCACTCACCACGCGGTGATTGAATTGTGTACTAGGGAAATCGCTTTTCGCAGGCAATCGGTGATAATTTCAATTATCATAGCAACAGTTGCACATTCGTGCAATTTCAAAAAGTGACATTTTGAAAAATGATAAAGTCTTAAACTAAGCAGATGCTTAGTAATATTTCTGATCGATTGGTGATAAAATCATTGAAATTGGTTCAGGGGCAGCTGAGTTATTAACGTTCAAAATCTTTCATAATTTTGTTACATGTTCCATTCTCGGTTAGTAGTCCTACGTCAACATGCGGAACATGTTCTATGAATGAATGCTGTTCACAATTTCATGTCACCTTGATCATTTTAAGATTATGAAATCAACTATGAATATTAGAGTGGTTCAAAATATCGATTTTGCTCCACGAAGGTTATTCGATTTCAAAACAGGTACTGGTAATTACCCCAAAATTTGAGCTCATTTGGATGCGAACTCATGCGTCACTGGCCGTTTGAAGTTTATATGGGAATTACTGGGAAAAATTATGTGGCTGTTCTCCTCGTTCTAGCCCTTCGCTGTAATGATCTACTGAAAAGTTTGCTATCTGTACTAATGTAAAGTTTACCCTGCTATACTTTTCTGAAGACTGCATTGTAATCGAACGTCAGGAAAATTAGTGATAAATTGATTACGAAGATGATGTTGTTGTGACAT